ATTGGACTGAGCACGGGATGCCAAGGGGAGGGGAATGAATTATACAATATATGATTCGCTTTCGCACCTAAATAACCAGTCTTCGCTTAGCTTTGCTTCTATTCATTTATAATTAGTAAAAGTACACTTGATTTCTACCAATGGAGTCCTGTGGTTTTCTTTCCTGGTTTTTGAATGAAGAAGGGCTGACAATTACTGCCAGTTTGGCACGCAAAAAATCCCACCATCAGTGGTGGGAGTCATTTTTTTTTACTATCAGTTCTGTGGGCATGGCTTGGTGGGTGTGGCAGGGAAAGGATACTGCAAAATCCCCATTCCCTCCTCACTCCTGGGGGAAGGTTACTGCAAAATCCACATTTCCTGGGACTCAGGAGGCAGAAAATAGATGGGATGGGGCCAGTTAGAGGTGGTATTAACTGGTTCTCCAAACTACTCAAAATTTCCACTATCAGTTCTCCAGAACTGGTCAGAATCTGCTGAATACCACCTCTGATGCCCAGCCTATTCCATCCAATTGGATGGGCAAAGACTCTTGGATAAAGCATCTCTATGCATTTGCATTAGCCGTTTTCTTTGATCTTCTGTGATATGGTAGTGGTGATGGTACTGTGATGAAATGGTGGTAAAATTTCCAACAAGACTAAATGGAGACATTAAGAGGGGGCCGAGCTTAGATTCCTTTTTCTATCGATTCTAATCCCCTTTCATTAAGCAGCATGAAGCAGTTTTCCAAGTTTCTTTTGAAGGGAAGACCACGTTTGTGCAGTCCTTTTTAGTTAGCGATGTTGTTGTCCTTCCAGGATGACAAAATGACCAAGGGGAATGTTTGTCTTTCATAGTACAACCTCTCTCCACTGGAATGCTACTTCTATGATGCTACCTGTTTCTGTCAAATAATCACAATTACTTCAGTGAAATTAAATAATGGCAAAGATGCTTTCTGGGGAATTTTCAATACAATCATTCATTTACAACTACAATTGAAGCTGGAATTTCCATTCTAAATTGTTGTAGTCATAAGTTGAATCAGAACTGATTTTCCAACAATTTTTACAGAGGGTGTAACCAAATCACCAGTATTTAAGCAAATCACATAGTTGTGAAGTGAATCCAGCTTTCCCAAGGGGTGTGCATGGAGATTCTCAATCATCCAGGTCCTGGTTGTTCCAAGGGTGGTTTTTGAAGGGGCAACTGGACTTTCTTTGTTTTTTCTTGAGGACATTTTACTTCTCATCCAGTTCTGAAGAAGCTTCTTGGATGAGAAGTGACACATCTTCAAGGAAAAACAAAAAAAAAGTCCAGTTGCCTCTTGAAAAAACACCTTAGGTAGGATTATTTTGTTAAATTTTTTTTGCAAATTGCAGTCACCTGAATCAAGGACATTGTAACTGGTTGTAATCAAGCAATTTGCCAAGCACCCAAGATCATGTGACCGGGATGGTGGTGCAACAGTTGTAGGTGTGAGTACAGGTCATAAGTCACTTCTTCTGAGCCATGGTAACTTTCATCATTGTAAAAACTGTAGTGCTGGATTTGTCCTCACTATAGAAAGGTCTTCTCCTTGAGAAATTATTAGAGACTTCCTTTTATTCTTGGGGGTGGGGGCGTTAGAGAAATCATCACTCCAGTTTATTTTATTTTATTTTCGCATGAATATCAAAAGGAATTGAATTCCAAAAGTCCACCTGTAGTTTTTCATCCCAAGCAGAATTCATTCCTCATCTTGAAAGTTTGGAAGTCACCAGCTTGCTGGAAGTGCAAACAACAACATGGAACGTACTATTATATGTGGTGGACGTGCGCATCAGCAAAAAAATATTGGACTAAAATAAAAGACTGGCTGAAAGAAATCACTGCACTCCAAATAGAATTTAAACCGGAATTGTTCTTATTAGGAATTATAAAAGGAAATTATGAAAAAAACAAATATTTAATTTTACATATAATCACAGCAGCGATTGCACAAAATTAGAAAAATAATAACACACCAACGGAAGAAAATGTAATAAAAAATATTGGAATGCACTGAAATGAATAGGCTAATGAAAGAATTAAAGGATAAAGAAGAATCCAAATATTGCGCAGTATGGGTATTATGGTATAATTGGCTAGAGGAAAGAAGGAAAAAAATAGGAAAACAATAAAGAAAAAAAGAAAGACTAAGAAATTAAAAAGCAAGTACAAAACCAGAGAATAAATAAAAGGTAGAAATACAAAATAGATCATTGACAAAAATAGTAGAAATTAAAAGAATATAACATGATATAGAATTGACATGTGAAAAGATATATGAAAATATGTATAGATATATGTATATAGATATGGGTATATAAGATTTATATGTACAGATAAAAGGAACACAACACGCATGTAAAAGAAGTATAATGTGTTGCAAAGATGTTATGTTTGTATAAACAAAATAAATTAATAATGATGATGATGATGATGATGATGATGATGATGATGATGATGATGGTGGTGGTGGTGGTGGTGGTGGTGGTGGTGGTGGTGGTGGTGGTGGTGGTGGTTGGAACTCAGAAAGTTCTCGGAACTTCCATCATTTTCCTGTTTCCTTTCACCTTCATTTCTTTTATAGTAGACAAGAGATATTACAATTGCAACATTATATTTATTTTTGACTCTGCATGCAGGCAGTCATCTATTATAGGCTGATGACATATGTAGTGAAATTGTTATTGCATTTATAATTGGTTTTTGTATGATGCACCTCTCAATGAATTGAGGATTGATTTTGGCCTGCTTATGTACATGATAAACGTCTCTATGGCAGAAGATGGTCTTTATTACAATATATTGCATCTGCTGTTTGAGTCATATCCCAGCATCTGCAAATTGTCTATTACCCGACAGATGGCTCAGTATTAACAGATATTGGTAAGTGAAGCTACAGCCAGGAAGTAAATTCCCAAAGACCCTGATCAATTCTATCCTATCAGATGTGGACGTTATCTACTAATGATGCATAATTAATGCTGAGTATGGTTTTCAGAAGAAGCAAGAGAGAAGGAGGACTCTAGTTTTGGAGAAGACTCCTGAGAATGCCACAGAGAGACAAGAAGACAAACAAATGAATTAGCAAACAACTCAGAGTTCTTATTCCAGGCGCAGATGATCAAGCTTAAATTATTCCACTTCAGACACGTTATATGAAGACCCAGGTCTCTGGAGAAGGCTCAAATTCTGGGAAAATAAAGGAGGACAATCAGCAACAAAGAAGATGGACTCAGATAGAAGGGACACTTTTGGAAGACTTGAAAGGCCAAACTAGAGATAGTCATGGAGAAATCCTATCTATGTCTTTGTTAAAAGTCAATATTGACTTCAATCAATCAGTCGTTTAAAAAAAGTAAAGGAAGCTGAACTTTCTTACATGTATAGTTGGATC